TCCCGGTCACCTTGTGATGGTGTCCCGGTTATGTTGTGATGGTGTCCCAATCGTGTTGTGACGGTGTCTCGGTCATGTTTTGATGGTGCCCTGGTCATTTTGTGATGGTGTTCCGGTTATGTGATTATGGTGTCCAAGGAAGAGATGGTCGATGTGTTGAAAACAGCAGCTGTTTCCAGATTGTTCTTTTTGTCCCGGTTTGTATCTTGCTATTGGGGTCTCCAGCTGGGCTAATTGTGCATTTCTTGGTCCTTCGCTTAGGTAAGGCAGTTGGAGAGTTCTTCAAGGCGAAGCAGGTCTACACGCATGGCAAGGGTCACTGGGCCAGAGACAGCACTGTTTCTCAGATGATTCGCTCCGCTTGTCAGTTTGTGTGGCAACTTTGCTGTGCTTTGTTGATCTTACATATATATATATATATAGATATATTTTTTTTTATTTTTTCCTTGATCCAAAGAAGAACCCTCAGCTGCACATTTTTCTGTGTCCATCTCGCTTGCTTGGCGCTTTTGAGGCCATGACGTGCCACAAGATGCAGCTTTCATTAAGACCTTCCAGGGATTCGTCTCTGGGCAGCTCTGAGGAGCTTCTTCCACCGCTCAAAAGGTGGCTTATTCTTAGCTTATCGGGGTTGCGCTGCATAGGTGTGCCCTATGTTATATGTTTTAGGATAACGTTTTACCGACGCCCCGTCCCGAGCGATCGACACCGGCGGGGGGTTTCGAAGAGCGAAACGGCACATGGTGCAAAAACAAGAGCGAAACGAGCGACTTCGTGTCACGTGACGTGACGTGTGTCAACACACATGATTTCGCTCACATTCATGCACACAGCCTTTGGAGTTTCTGAGCCCTTGTGAATCCGCAGCTTCCATCCCAAAAGCTCAAGTTGTGAATGTTTGGTGCCCTGGACAATCATGTGCCTTGGCCAAGAATGCAATAGGCAGGAGTGGTGTGAAAGGATCATAGTGTTTAGGTGACTGAAAGGTGTACTTTGACTTTTGTATCATTGCAAGTTTGATGGCATGTGAAGCACAGAGAGGTTTGACTTGCACAAGGTTTGTTCATACTCAGATGATGAAGTTGGGATCTTAGACCCTTAGAGTTCACGCAACACTGCAGTATGGTCGCTGACGGACATAGACACAAGCAATGAAACAAGAACTTGAAACAGAGTTTCTGCTAGGTCTTCGGTACAGTATATCACCAAGTCGCGCTGGCGTCTTTGTTTGGTCACCCAGATGAGACCGGCGCCTGATCTAAAGACCTTAACCACAATCCTGACCACACTTGCCCACAGGTCACGTCATCTGAAGAGGATTTGCAAAGATCCATGTATATATCGCTGTTCGGTCTCATCTTGTTTCGTCTGCACAAGTGAACCCTTGGGCTTTTCCCTTCTTCTTTTCTTTGCCTGAAAACCTGCTTGTTTGGAGCTGGAGCTGTCCGGTAAAGCCGCCATCCTTCTCAGTTCGCGGACCCTTGTCAGCATGCTTGAAGATCACGGATCCATGCCGGCCACGGCCTCAGACGCCCAGGTCCCGGGCGGGTCGTGCCCGTACCGGGACCTCGTCGGAGAAACCTCGTCGTCCGGGTGAAGCAACGAAAGACGTTCAGGATGCCACCGTCCATCAAGGTCTTGAGCTCGGAAGCCACACCTAAGACAGCAAAGTGTGCCAAGTCAGCGTGGTCTTTCTCAGTACACCCAAGACAACTCTGTGATGGTTGACGAAACTGATCACTACTGGTTGGACGTGCAACCCAGGCGGCCTCCACCCTGGCGGTTCGCATGCAACCGGAGGGCGCGCCTCCGATGAGAAGCCTTCCTCAAGCGACGCCTGGCGCGGTGGAACCTGTCGTGCAGATTCCCTATCAAGAGTCTCTTGGCGGAAGAAAAAGCCGATTCGGCGGAAGAAGAGTCTCTTGGCTGAAGACCCACCAAACGGCCAACGGCCGGTTCCTCCCCAAAAGCGAATGTGACGACATGTTGGAAGTGTCAAGTTCCTCAAATTCTTTGACCCTGGAGGCATGAACCCCACGAACTATCTTTGTTTGCTTTCTGCAAGTAGAGTGCGGTTGTTTCTACCGATGTATTTAGGGTTTCTTGGGGATGGATCTGGACAAAAGGGGAGTAACCAAGGCCCTACTAGAATGGACGCACCAGTCCATTTTGCTCCAAAACCCGTTCATGTTTAGCACAGTTGAATCCAGGATCTGGCCAGAAACAATCTCAATGCTTCGTTTCGCAATGAGGCTGCGTGATCTCACGCCCAGTGCCGTTGAAAAGCTCCACAAAGCCTTCGTTGGTGCTTAGCCTCAGAAGACATTGTATGCCGTTCCTGGCAGTGCAAGTACCGGTAGTAGGTAGAAGTCCTTGTTGAAGCGTTCCTGGCAGTGTGGCAGTGTTCTTGGCTTCACGCTCTGAGCACGCAGAATTGATTTTTCTTTTTTGTCCTTCTGCTAGAAAAGTACAATAGTCTGGAAGCAGCCTCAACACCCTT